TTCCATAAAAGACTGATGCCTGAAGCTCAATTTTTGGCTTACTACTTCTGATAGTTACACACCTTTTCCTACCTTCCTCTCATCCAAGTCTGTTTAGTCATTTGAAATATCAGTTTTTGGGCCAGGTGCGGTGGCTCACGCCTGTAATCCCAGCACTTTGGGAGGCTGAGGTGGGTGAATCACCTGAGGTCAGGAGTTCAAGACCAGCCTGGCCATCATGGTGAAACCCCATCTTTCAAAAAAAAAGAAATATCAGTTTTTACCTGTTAGTATTAGTAGCTGTTTGCTATATTTCACAAATACATTTCTAAAACAATCAACTTAATTAGAATTGGACATTAATAGTGAGGCATGTTATTCTCTGCAACAACTAAGATTTTCAGTAGAAATTATTTCACTAATTCATCTTTTATTTCCAAAGTGTTCAAGGCTAAAATCTGGATTTCTTTAATTTTCATTCTAAGAGGCAAATATTAATTATATTAATGAGTTTAAAAGTTTTTATTTTTCCTCCCAATGACCTATTCTTAATGAACATAGTATTATTAAGAGAAATTCCAGGGAATCATTTCCTGTATTTTTTTACATGCACAAATTATATTCCCTAAGGCCAGCCTCTTAAACAGACAAATGAACCTAACAGTCTCAACAATGATTTAAAAACTGGCCCTCAATTTTGTTCATTAATTCCTGATCTGGTGGAGTTGTGGTCCTTTACTTGGTTTTAAAACAATATTCAACAAATTGGTGTTATAGTTGATAATATCTGCTCATTCTTTTACCTCTGTTTAAAACGTATAATAAAATATACAAACTATAAAATACATACAAGTATAAAAAAGTACAATACAATGAATTTACATGTATCAGTCTCTATGATAACAAGTATGATTCTTTAGAAACTGCTTCTGAAACACTTTGATATTGAGTATAGTCTAATTTTACTGCCTTAATATGATTAATAACATATTAAACATAAGTGTTCTACAGGGTTTCCAAAATATATCTTAATGGCCTAATTCTTATAGGTTATTGAATAACTTGAGTAAGTTTCTGATTGCTTGAGACCTCAGAAGTGATGGTTAAACTGACATAGGATGCATACATTTTCACTCTTTTTCATTATACATAAGTTTTAATGGATACTCCTTAGAAGTTGGAATCATTTTGAGTTTCTTGAAGAGGCTTGATAGTTATATTTTCAAAATTAAGGAACCTAGGTAAACAAAGTCAAAATATTTACATTTTGTTTGGGCATACATTCATATTTCCATAAATATATAATTGTGACATTATTAAGTGAAATATTTATTATAATTTATTATAATCTCCACAAATTTGGAGAACTGTAATTCTTATGTCTTCCTCTCAAGTATTATACTTAGAAATACTGTATCTTTGGTTACTGATTTGTGTACAGAGGAGGAACCTGGCTAGATATAGTAATTATTTAACAAATGCCATATAACCTTCTGTTTGGGGAATATAAAATCCCTCAAATTGGAAATATGAATGACTACCCATGGGATAAATCCAGCTATTTTTGTTTTGGGTCCAGAGCATAAAAAAAAGGAAAGGAAAAATGCAGCTTGCCAACAGACCACTACCAAATCACCATAACAGTCTGCTAGAAGAGAACTGATCAGGCCATTATACTACTGGACAACAGGACAATCATGTGAGTTGGAATGCTGAATCACTGCAACTCCAAGACATCTGGGATTTTTTTTAACCTCACGTTGCATACAATCTATGGAATATTATTATATTTAGTTCATTTGCAATTTATAATTTTTGATGACTAAAATTAGAAAAGTATTAGTATATTCCTACTGGCTTTATATATTAGTATTGGGCTGTCACTATTACCCAGATTATTTAAAATGTAAATTTTCTTTACTCACTGGATTGGAAGCTCCTTAAGGGCAAGGGCTACTTCTGTATTATTCATCTTCATGCCATGTCACTTAGAATCTAGTAGATAATAAATATCTATTGAGCTGAACTGACTTTGAGTAAAAGTGAGTCCAATACACGAAGATTAATAGATTGTAGGTTGGTTTGACACAAACTTCATTTTGAAACGAAAAAATGAACACACTGCCTGAGAGAAGCAGGCTCTCTATCCCTGTATACCTGCTCTCAGGAATATGGGTAAACTAAGTTTCCCTTAAGCACAATATCTAAAGACCCTGATATATCTGCTAGTTTAACCTCTTTCAATTGGCTTTCACACATGACCTAATGTTTAGAAAATGACAAGGCTCATACATGTAGAGTGGCATCCCTGATTAACAGCGAACAGCAGAGGTCTCAGACTCGGGATGCAGGGAACATACATATTTAGTCCATATCACCAAGGCAACACAGTCAGCGTACCTCAGCAAAGTAGAAAAACCGGCACAGATGTTGATGTTGAATATTTAAAAAGTGTTCCTTATACCCACTTTAACAGTGGTTTGACACAAGGGGATGAATTTTTTCAAAAACCAAGCTATTAAAAGTTTTTACTTCTCTAATGTGTGTATGTGTGCTTTGTTTTCCATTGTTAATACTCCATAGACATTCTTAGTCAAGTAACATTATTTTAACACCATAAAGAAAGGTTTAAAGCTTGATTTTGACATAAATGACTCATATATTCTCTTTTTAAGAACATAAGGAGCTACAGGCCTCAAATAGGGTACCTCCTTCCCCAAATAGGACGACATCTGAATTTGAAGCCAGTAAGTCAGCAAAAAATGAAACTATCTGTTGAAGAAACCTCCCTGGGAGATGACTTACAAATGAGCTACTGATGAGACTATTTATACTTTTATGGACCAGGAATAAATATGGTAAGCTGCAGAATAAAACTGTCACAACAAAAGGAAAACTACATGGGCTAGGAAAGAGACAAGATTTTGGCAGAAATAAGCATTCTAATTAACGATGAAGCAGGAAAAATTCTCCAAGTCTTACCTCAGCACAACTGAAATAGTACCCCAATTTATCAACCTTCCTTTGCTAGTATCTATGTTTACCAAGAAGCTTCCTGTTTCCTAATTGTTTACCGTAGGCAGACCTATCACCATGAATTAATACATTTATATTCTAACTGGGGAATCTCCAAGTCTTACAAGTTTCGTCAGTGGGAAGTGATTTCTCAAGTTGAGAGTCAGACCCTGGATCTATATACATCTATGTTGCATCCTGGGAAACCCAGCTGGAACAGCCAGCCAAATGATCTCTCTCTTTTTACTATCCACCATCACCTTTCTCACCAACTTCTAACTGTAACACAGGTCACCACAATCTTGTAAATGTCTGTATCCATCTGAAAAATAAAACCACATGTCATATATTGGTAAACAACCAAATGAAGATGGCTAAGACATTGGAATAACAGCAAGGTAATTAGGAAGAAAAATGGTTTTTATCAATAAATAAATCCACAACTGCTCTTTTAAATCCCAAAACAGATTACTATTCTTAACTAAAGCAGGTCCATGTCCCTTATATTCCACTTATAGGAGATATACATTATTTGAGGAATCCAGTGGGGACCTAAATCTAGATGTACTGGGCATCTGTTTGGTATGACTTTACTCAAAAGAAGGCACTAAAAAAACTGAACCTGAATCTGATCAATCTTATTTGTTTACAGGATATACAAGAGGCATAAAAACAAGTTCATGACTTCACAGTGATACAATCAACAAAATCCAGAATATGTGTGGAAACTTTAAAGACAAAACAACTAGATTTCTTAAGTAATTTAAAGGGGAAAAGAAAAGGTAACATAAATTAAATAAACTTCAATAAATAGCAACCAAATCCAACGTACGGACCTTGTGTGGTACCTATTTTAAACAAACCAACAGTTAAGAAGAGACAATCAAGAGAATATGAATAGTCTAGACAGTTGATCATATTAAGAAACAGTTAAACTCCAATCACGAGAATTTGAACAGTCTAGACAGCTGATTATATTAAGAAACAGATAAACTTTTTAGGTGTCATAATGACATTGTGGGGGTTGTTAATTTTTAAAGATAGATACTAAAGTAGTTATGACTCCAGGCATGGTGACTCATGCCTGTAATCCCAGCACTTTAGGAGGCTGAAGGGGAGTGGATCACTTGAGGCCAGGATTTCAAGACCAGCCTGTCCAACTACTAAATATACAAAAATTAGCCAGGCACAGTGGCTCATGCCTGTAATCCCAGCACTTTGGGAGGCTGAGCGGGGACGGATCACTTAGGGCCAGGAGTTTGAGACCAGTCTGGCCAAAATAGTAAAACCCCATCTCTACCAAAAATATAAAAATTAGCTGGGCATGGTGGCAAACACCTGTAATCCCAGCTACTCAGGAGGCTGAGGCACAAGAGTAGCTTGAACCCAGGAGGCAGAGGTTACAGTGAGCCAAGATTGCACCACTGCACTCCAGCCTGGGCAACAGCACAAGGCCCTGTTTCAAAAAGAAAGAATAAAGTAGTTATGGATGAAATGATAGGATGTCTGGGATTTGCTTTGAAATAATTGGGGAGTGGGGAGAAGTAATTTAGGTACAGATGAAATAAAACTAACCATAAACTGAAACTGACTGATGTATATGGAAAGGTCCGTTATACTATTCTCCAGACTTCTGAATATGTTTAGAATTTTCCACAATAAAAAGGTTTAAAAACAACAACAACGAACAAAACACAGACACACACACACACACACACACACACACACACACACACACGAGGAGCACTGCTGGGTCCCCCGGAGAACAGAATAAAATTCCTAGTCTAGTTTCTAGCCCCATTTACTAGACAGTTTCTCTAGAGGTCACCATACAGTGGCAATCCATTGACCAAGTCCTGCTCTTCATTCTTATATCATTAGCCTGATAAAGGAGGTTAGGTTGTCTGAGTTTGGTTACTTACCAAATACCTTTTAATGTCCAAGTTTGCTACCCAATTTTAACTTGAATTTAAGAAAATTTAAAATAATTTCTGAAGCTAACAGAATTTTAGCATCTGGTGAATTTATTCAGCATAATCACAGGCATTATCTTCATGCTGTCACACACAGACACAAACACAGATACAGCACAATATCCATATTTAGCCCAAGTGCATTCCTTCTGAGGCTCATTTATATGTCTTCATATGCCACAGCCCATCATTTAAATAATGGATATTTTCAATGCCAATTCCTTTGTTGACTTTCTCACTGTAGAAGGGAAAAAAACACATAAACATAGTAATACATCTTTATAGTGTTACTTATGATAAATATAATTCAAAGGACATTGTTATTTTATAATTATTAAGCTGCAAGTAAAAAACTTATTGCTACCACAATTACATTGTTGTTTATATTAAACTACATTACTCTGTGGCAGCTTATATCTTAAAGTGATTTTAGTGATCTAACTAGTGGGTCTACAGAAGCAGAGTAACAATGTCCCAAGACTAGGGGAATATCAAAGTGCTACATTAACCCTGAAACAAAAGTATTAACACTAATTTGGTCATCAAATGGGTTCTAAAGTTTTTAAATATATCGCCTATGTTTTGTAATTTATCTTTACTAGTTCTCTAAATATTCTATATTTCTTGTATTAGCAGGTCAAAATATAAGATAAATACTGTGTGGTGCTGAGCTATATCAGTTTTTGTTTCTGTTTTTGTTTTTTTGAGCTATATCAGTTTTTAAAACTAATAGTAATGGCCAGGCTTGGTGGCTCACGCCCGTAATCCCAGCACTTTGGGAGGCCAAGGTGGGTGGATCACTTGAGGTCAGGAGTTTGAGACTGGCCTGGCCAATATGGTGAAACTCTGTCTCTACTAAAAATACAAAAATTAGCTTGGCATGGTGGCATGCGCCTATAATCCCAGCTACTTGGAAGGCTGAGGTAGGAGAATCACTTGAACCCTGAAGGCAGAGGTTGCAATTAGCCAAGATCATGGCATTGCACTGCAGCCTGGGTGACAGAGTGAGACTCCATCTCAAAAAAATAAAAATAAAGTACCACATACATACATACAAAACAGCTGTGTTGGCACACAGGTTCTTTTCAGTGCTTAAGACAGACTACAATTCTGAAGACAAAATAGATTTCACTGGCTTCCTAAGTGTTAGGAAATATCAGAAATGAAGCTTCTGTGCTTGGATTATTTGTACAATGCAGTATGCATGACAGCAAATTTCACCTGTAATTCTGATGCTTCCTGCATTGGTTACCCATATCTCAAAAGCTAAGTGGGCCTAAAGTAAGACTTACATATCTTCTGCAGACATCTTCATGACTCCAACACATAGAGCATGTTGTTTTCCTTCTGCCATGATAGCCTGAAAGAACACAGCTAAGAAAACTATTTATCAAAATGCCTTGGGGCCTCCCCACCAAGGGAAGGGTGTCAAATAATGATCATGTTACTGGTAAAGCCACTTGAAACCCCTCTTGTGTCTTCTCCTAGATGATAAACTCCTTGAGAGCAGAGACCTAGCAGAGTCTGTGGGTATACTGTAAATACTCAGTAAATGCTAAATGAATAAGATCTAAGAATCATTTTTCTTTTTACTTTTTTTTTTTTTGACATGGAATTTCATACTTGTTGCCCAGGCTGGAGTGCAATGGCGTGATCTCAGCCCAGTGCAACCTCCACCTCTCGGGTTCAAGTGATTCTCCTGCCTCAGCCTCCCAAGTAGCTGGGATTACAGGCATCTGCCATCATGCCCAGTTAATTTTTTTTTTTTTTGTATTTTTAATAGAGATGGGGTTTCACTATGTTGGCCAGGCTGGTCTGGAACTCCCGACCTCAGGCGATCCACCCATCTTGGCCTCCCAAACTGCCTGGATTACAGGTATAAGCCACCGTGCCTGGCCATAATCATTTTTCTTTTAAGTCAAATGTTAATACTATAACCCCATGCCAACAAAACCAGAATAAATCACACAAAAAAAGGAGTAAAAGTTCTTGTACATAAATACTAAAAGCTGTGAGATCAAAGAATATTAATTGTTCTAGTATTCTGATCACTGAATGGTGGGTTTTTTTGTTGTTGTTGTTGTTGTTGTTGTTGTTTTTGAGACTGAGTCTTGCTCTGTCACCCAGGCTAGACTGCAGTGGCATGATCTCCACTCACTGCAACCTTTGCCTCCTGGGTTCAAGCAATTCTCCTGCCTCAGCCTCCATAGTACCTGGGATTATAAGTGCATACCACCATGCCCAGCTAATTTTTGTATTTTTAGTAGAGACAGGGTTTTGCCATGTTGGCCAGGCTGGTCTCAAACTCCTGACCTCGGGTGAACCTCCCACCTTGGCCTCCCAAAGTGCTGGGATTACAGGCACGAGCCACCACACCCAGTCTAAATGGTGGTTTTATATAAAAGATGTTTTAAAATAATAGTTAAATTCCCAGTCTATTTTTAAGAGCCTGATAAAACAGTTTCAACATTTCTAGAACAACCAGAGTAGTCTTGGTTATCATTTGAAGCTTCTGGAATGTTAAACACTGCAGTACATATTTTAAAAAGTCAAGATTCACGGTACACAAGATCTCTCTGTACCACTTTTTTACAACTTTCTATAAATCTGTAACTGTTTCAAAATAAAAATTATTTTTAAAAGTAAAAACTGTGTACTAAGAAAATTTTCCATTTAAGGGAAACTCAGGAACTTTAAACTTACCAACACTTACAGGAATGATAAATATTAAAACGCAACAACAAAAAAAAACAATAAAAAACACCTGTCCTCACTTTTCTCCGTTGGTTTTCAATTTGTTTATTCAGTGTTCCAAATACTTGAGCACCTATGATGCAAAAAGCACCTATGTCAACATAAGCTGTTCCTAGAATATAAACATACAACTTATATTACCCCTTGTCCCCTTGCTGCAACAGAGAATTTTTTTTTTTAGCACAGGATATAATCTTAAATGTATTCCAAGCTGGGCACAGTGGCTCACGCCTGTAATCCCAGGACTTTGGGAGGCCAAGGCAGCTGGATCACCTGAGGTCAGGAGTTTGAGACCAGCCTGACCAAAGTGGTGAAACCCCATCTCTACTAAAAATACAAAAATGAGCCAGGTGTGGTGGTGGATACCTGTAATCCCAGCTATTAGGGAGGCTGAGGCATGAGAATTGCTTGAACCCAGGTGGCAAAGGTTGCAGTGAGACAAGATCATGCCACTGCACTCCAGCCTGGGCAACTGCACTCCAGCCTGGGCAACAGAGTGAGACTCCATCTCAAAAAATAAAATAAAACAAACGCACTCCAAAAGTAATTTCCCTATTCCCACCGAGTACCATTCCTTTTGTCTATCTGAGGCAAATGGCTGCTTTGGCTATGATAAAGGAAAAGATGGCCTCCTGCCCAGAATAGTCACAAAAATCTATTTAATCCAGAATATAGCTGAAACAGCATGGTAGAAATGGAAATAATGCAGAATTATTCAGCCGTATCATTAGTTGAATCAATCTTTAAGGATCATGTGGGACTCTGACATTTCTCTTTGACAAAACATGCTCTCAGGCCCCCAAACCCAACCTTTCACATAATTGATTTTCAAAATAAAAGTTGGGAGGTTGCCAATATTTCCCATTACTCACTCCTAACATGAAATTGTTGCTTGGGAAGAGATACCTATACCCGGTACCTAAATTCTTTTCCCTTTTGAGTGCTTTTACTCCAGTGTATGTCAGTAAGTCAAAATGAACATTACAGTGGCAAGGTGATAGCCAAAAAGCTGAACCAATTATATCACCTATATCCTTTCCTCTAGTAATCAAGAATTCCCTTTTGTGTCCTAAGTCTGATAATAATAGGCCCTAACTGGGCTGGAATGCAGCTGAGACTCTTTTGTAACTTGTTCTCATTTAACTTCTAAGAAACAACCTAAGATGAGATAATTTAGCAGCAACAAATAAAATTACTTTGCACAACTTCAAATGTAATCAGAAAGGCATGAGATAAGAATAACAGTAACCTTCAAAAAAGTAAATCTAATGTTCTCTTGGATGATACATCTTTCGCAATAATGATAAGAGCACAATGAATTTTTCAGCAGTTTTAGCCTGGGAAGGATACAACAATGGTATCTACTGCAGCAGGATAAAGCTTAGCTCCAGGAGAAGTTAAGCCTGGACACATGATATTTGCTCCACTGAGTACAAATTTGATGGCTCCTTTATCAACCTGCTGGTGTGGCAAGATAAAAGGATCTATAAGAAAAGAAATACGTTATATGAATAAAACTAATGACTCAACAGAAAAAGGCAAAGGATATGAACAAATATTTCCCCAAATTATAGTAATCTGACAGATACAAAATAAAACTCTGAAACGTTATATTTTGTTTACTCAATTGGTAATCTTTTTTGTTTGTTTTGAGACAGGGTCTTGCTCTGCCACGCAGGCTGGAGAGCAGTGGAGCAATCATACCTCACAGTAACCTTCGGCTCCTGCAATCTGCCACCTCAGCCTCCCAAGTATTCTCCAAAAACCATAGTTTCAAAACCATGTTTTTGGAGAATACTTAATACATCCCGGGAAAATTTTATGATACAATGTTAAGTGAAACATGCAGAATAAAAAGCAATTAAAAAGATCAGTGGTAGCTGGGCATGGTGGCTCACGCCTGTAATCCCAGCACTTTGGGAGGCCGAGGTGGGTGGATTACAAGGTCAGGAGTTCAAGAACAACGTGATCAATATAGTGAAACCCCATCTCTATTAAAAATACAAAAATTGGCCAGGCGCGGTGGCTCACGCCTGTAATCTCAGCACTTTGGGAGGCCGAGGCGGGTGGATCACGAGGTCAAGAGATCGAGACCATCCTGGTCAACATGGTGAAACCCTGTCTCTACTAAAAACACGAAAAAATTAGCTGGGCATGGTGGCGCACACCTATAATCCCAGCTACTCGGGAGGCTGAGGCAGGAGAACTGCCTGAACCCAGGAGGCGGAGATTGCGGTGAGCCGAGATCGCGCCATTGCACTCTAGCCTGGGTAACAAGAGCAAAACTCCGTCTCAAAAAAAAAAAAAAATACAAAAATCAGCTGGGTGTGGTGGTGAGTGCCTGTAGTCCCAGCTACTCAGGAGGCTGAGGCAGGAGAATCGCTTGAACTGGGAGGCAGAGGTTGCAGTGAGCTAAGATCACTGCACTCCAGCCTGGGTGACAGCAAGAAAGACTCTGTCTCAAAAAAAAAAAAAAAAAAAGATATGGAGCACAAAGGATGTTATAGGGCAGCAAAATCATTCTGTATGATACCGTAACAGTAGATACTTGATATTATGTATTTGGGAAAATCCATAAAACTGTAGAATACAGTGAACTCTAATATAAACCAGGGACTTGCATTAATAATAATGTATCAGTACTGGTTCATCAATTGTTACAAATGCATCATTCCAACACAAGATGTTATTCATAGGGGAAACTGAACTGGGGAGAAAGAACTCTGTTGTTTCTGCTTTCTTTTTCTGTAAACCTAAAACTGCTCTAAAAAATAAAGCCTATTAACTAAAAAAAAAAAAAACTACAAGGGGATGAAGAGAAGTTGGTTAAGGGGTACAAAAATACCAGTAAATAAGTTCTAGTATTCGAGAGTACAGTTAAGGAAAATATAGTTAACAATGATTTCCTGTATATTTCAAAATAGCTAGAAGAATTGTAGTCCTCTCAACAAAAAGATAAACATTTGAGATGACAGATATCCTAATTTACCTGATTTGACCATTACACGCTGTATAAAGGTATCAAAATATCATATGTACCCCTAAAATATGTACAACAACTATAAATATATACAGGTGGGAGGGGGGTTGGATACAGGCACCACAACATCAGACAATGTAGAGTTATTATGTATTAATTTTTACAAACTATGTAACAGCCCAATTTTTAAAATTATATGCATTTACACATATCACAGAAAGTAACTAACTGGATGGAAGGACATTTAGCCAATGCTTTCCCATATATAGACTTTTCTCTATTGGGCAAATAGATATAAATATAAAAGACGAAAATGCTCACAATGTTTATCACAGTTTGTAAATACATGTTTGTATAATTACCTAATTGTTGTTTATTCTCCAAACTAGACTATTAGTTTCATTAGGACAGAGACAATGTCTTTGCTTCCCATTGTATTCTCAGCACCTAGTGAGTGCCTAGCACACAATAAGTTCAATAAATATATGTTGAATGAATGAATGAATGAATGCTCTTTCTTGGGCTTTCTGGAATGCATGAGCATTTTTCAGATTTACCACAAGATGGGCATTCATTTTAGTTTTACATCCCTTATTACCTAGTACTAATAAATAATGAGTTAACTATCAGAAGCCACTTTAAACTCTTTTTGTGTCTTTCAGTATCCCCAAATGCATATTTCTGTTTTTTCCCTGCAGTGGGGTCTCATCTGATTAAATGCATATTTCTTACAAGACTTTACATTTGAATTATGCAGTAAGAGTAAATAGTTCAAAAAATAAAAATAAAGAAACTTACATTTGTGAAGTAACCTTAGGGTTGGATAAAAAGGCCCTTCTCTTTGTCTAAAAAATAGTAATTCTCCATTTACAGTAAGGATTTCTATATGTTCATGGCTGTAAGACAAATGTCACAAAGAACCAAGTTAGATATTTTTCAAAAATTCACAACATAAAAATGCATATATAGTGATAAAGTAAACTTTAAAAGAAGTCAGTAAAAATCCTGGCCAAAAAATATTGTTTACATTGTTTTTCCTATCATACAAGTACAGTAGAGAAGAAAAATATGACCTGCTACAACCAATTTTATTTCACATTTTATTATTTTAATTCCATTGTTAGATAATTCAATAAAACAATTCTCTAAAGAACAAACTGAAATAAATTAAATCCAACTCTGAATTAAAACATTTAACTCTTTAATAAAACAATACACAAAGCCACATTTTTTTCAGGGACATAGAAAATCTATGAAAATACAAATATTGGAGTTTTGGAGTTATTCTGTGTCTATCCCCATTATCAATCTATCAATAGTTAATCTGAAAATAATTCCATTCAGTATGAGTGCAATCTAATCATTGAACATTCAGCTACTCCAAGCTTTACACAGACAAAAACAAAGACTTACCATCGGACTATTTTGACAGGATCTTTCTTAGGCATGATCTGATTAAGCCATGGTTCAATACCTGGAAATTGCTCTATCAACTGATTCTTAATACCCTTAATAACTGAGGTTTTCAACTGGATGCAGTTGGACACATTTTCTTTTTCATCAAATCTGCCAAGTAATTTTTGCAAGAAAAGAAAAAGGGATTTCTAAGTAGAGGTATCATAATACCTAAAGGTATTGTTCTGATTAGTATTCCCAAGCAAGTATTTAGATACTTAAAATAATTATGAAATAAGTTGTTTTTTTAAAAAAAAATACCACCTCCCTTTTACTCTGTCCAGCACAAAACTAATGTCTTAATACAATATTGAAATTAACTGTCAAGTATACAGCAATTAGCTGGGGTTGGGGAGAGGAATATAAGACACACTTTGCACCATAATCTCTAATTAGCTACACAAATGCCTTTCCTGGAAAATCTTATTCAATTCTACCCAGGAAAAACACGGGCTCCCACCAATAATAAAACCTGTGATCAAAAAACAAAACCCTCAATTGATACAAAAGACCAACCCAAGCATAACATAGAAAATCGGCCCCTGCTAGGCTATGCAGTCTGCTGAGACTTTTTTTAAAGTGATGATTTATAAGATCCCTATTTATTTTTGCTCAAAATTTCATGCAAAAAACCCACCTTCCTTTGCCCATGTTCCCCCTTTGCTTTTTGCGTCTACCAAACCTGGAAGGCAAACCCACTAGTAGGTTCCCAAGGAATTTTTGTCTTCCTTACACTGAATAGCTTATGGGGCAATCACGTTATTTTCAAGGCAAGGTTAATCTGGCAGCTAGGCAATAGGCATGACAGGCCGCTTGCTTCCTGTCACCCAGACTCCTTCACTCCCATGACCCAGGAAGTCAAGCCTTCCTTTATTCAGTTCATAACTAATAAACATATGGCAGTGAGCGCAGGGCTCCCCTCTCAGCTAAAGAGGATATGCCCCTAAATCACAGTGCACGGATGTGATTGGTAGAACCCTAGGAATGGAGACGGAATCGGGGGAGGGGGCAAAAGAGAAAGAGGGATAAGGAGAAAAAACAATGGGAGTGAAGGGAACGAAACCCGATTGAGGACTACGGATGGAAAGCTTAAAGAAGTGTTCAAGTTGCGAGTTAGAGCATAGTACTATAGAAAACCTTAGGGAGTCAGGATGGCAGGGGCGGGGGAGAGAGAAAGCGGATCTTAGCTCTCGCCCTCTTCCCCACCCCCACCCCACCGCCTTTGTGAGCAGCCGATGGAGGCCACAGCATGTCCTTACTTCTTGAACATGATCCAACGTGAAGGGGGCGACGATAGGGAAGGGCCCGGAATGGGAACGAAATTGAATTTGCAAGGGTCCGGCAGATCCCTTTACACGAGGAAGGCCGGCACTGACAGTCGGAGGTGTAGTCGTTATCCGGAAAACGAGAGCCAGCCGCGCTTTACGGCTCTCAGTCAAATCTGACTACTTCCGCTCCTCTGGCCTCCACGTAGGCGCTTTTGCCGGCTCCTTTTAAGCAACCGGTTCCTCTGCAGTTGGAGGTAGCTGAAAGGGCGGGACTTGAGAGGGAAGAAGTGATAGAACAATTGCAGGAAAAGAAGAATGGAGGGGGCGGGGAAATCAATCAAAGTAGCATTTAAGGCACTTGCGTCTGTTACGGGTTCCTCAAAGGGTCAAGTTTCTTCCGTGCTTCGTTGCTACCTACCGTCACACTAAAAGATTCTTTTTTTAGGGAGAATGGCTTTTGTTCCGTCTGAGGCAACTGAATGGATTGGTGCTTACCTACCAGCATGAATCCAGACAAACCTCATAGCTTCATGTTAAAGTGCTGGTAGGATTGCCAGGTTTGACAAATGAAAATATAGGATGCCTACTTAATTTGAATTTCAGGTAAACAATGAATACTTGTTTTAGTGTAAGTATACCTCAACAATATTTTGGACATACTTACACTAAAAATATACAGTCCTCGTTTAGCTGAATTTAATTGCGCGTCCTGTTTTTTATCTGGTAACCCTTATTCACTGGCAACCATACGATGCCCCCATAGTTTTTTGTGGGTTTTTATTGAGACAGGGCCTCACTCTGCTGCCCAGGCTTGAATGCAGTGGTGCTGTCTTGGCTTACTGCAGTCTTGACCTCCTGGGCTCAAGGGATCCTTCCACTTCAGCCTCCCAAATACCGTGGACTACAGGCACACGCCACCATGCCCGTTTTTTGTTTTTTATTTTTATTTTTTGGTAGAGACAGGGTCTACGTTGACCAGGCTGGTTGCAAACTCCTGGGCTCAAGCAATCCTCCTGACTTGGCATCCCAAAGTGCTGGGGTTACAGGCGTCAATGACTGCCCTCCTGTAGAATAATTCCCAAAGAATTATTACAGAAGGTAATCTGATTAAAGAGATAAATAACTAAAGATACATGTTTTACTTATGTAATTTTTTAAAAAGAAAGCTGATAGAGAATATTTTGCCAGTCAAGGATTTTACTTTGTTTTTGGTTTTAGACACAGCATCTTACTACTCGACCCAACCTGGAGTGCAGTGGCATGATCATGTTTCATTGTAGCCACAACTTCCCAGTCTCAAGTGACCCTCCAGCCTCGGCCTCCCGAGTACAGGCATGCACCACCACAGGGCTGGTGGGAAGAACCCCTTATAAAACTACCCGATCTCGTAAGCACTCACTCACTATCATAAGAACAGCATACGGAAAACCACTTCCACCATCCAATCACCTCCCACCAAGTCTCTCCCCAGATATGTGGGGATTATGGGGATTACAATTCAAGATGAGATTTGGGTGGGAAAAAAATCCAAACCATAAAAGTCACCCTATTGCCCTATTGCACTGTCAAATAGAAGATCTCTTTTTTTTTTGAGACAGAGTTTCACTCTTGTTACCCAGGCTGGAGTGCAATGGCGCGATCTCGGCTCACAGAAACCTATGCCTCCTGGGTTCAGGCAATTCTGCCTCGGCCTCCTGAGTAGCTGGGATTACAGGCACGCGCCACCACGCCCGGCTAATTTTTTGTATTTTTAGTAGAGACGGGGTTTCACCATGTTGACCAGGATGGTCTCGATCTCTTGACCTAGTGATCCACCCTCCTCGGCCTCCCAAAGTGCTGGGATTACAGGCTTGAGCCACTGCGCCCAGCCCTAGAAGATCTTACTCATTCTATTTTTTTGTACCCATTACCCAACCCCACTTCTACTACCCAATCCCCCACTATCCTTCCCAGCATCTGGTAACCTTCTATTCTCTGTGTCCATGAGTTCAATTGTTCTGATATTTATATCCCACAAATAAGTAAGGACATGTGATGTTACTCTTTCAGGGCCTGCGTTATTTCACTTAACATAGTGATCTCCAGTTCCATCCATATTATTGCAAATGACAGGATCTCATTTTTTTTTTTTTTTGGCCAAATAGTACTCCATTGTGTATATGTACCACAGTTTCTTTATTCAAACATCTGTTGATGGATACTTAGGTTACTTCCAAATCTTAGCTGTTGTAAACGCTGCTGCAAGAAACGTAGGTGTGCAGATATCTCTCTGATAAACTCATTTCCTTTCTTTTGGGTATATACCCAGCAGTAGGATTGCTGGATCATATGGTAGCTCAATTTTAGTTTTCTGAGGAACCTCGAAACTGTGCTCCATAGTGGTTATACTAATTTACTTTCTCACCAACAGTGTACAAGTATTCCCTTTTGTCCACATCCTCACCAACATTTGTTATTGCCTGTCTTTTGGATATAAGTCATTTTAACTGGGGTGAGATGATATCTTGTAGTTTTAATTTGAATTTCTCTGATGATCAGTGATGCTAAGTACCTTTTCATATGCCTATTTGCCATTCGTGTCTTCTTTTGAGAAATGTCTATTCAAATATTTTGTCAATTTCTTGATCATATTATTATATTTTTGCCTATAGAGTTGTTTGAACTCCTTATGTATATATTCTGATTATTATTCCCTGGTCAGAGGGGTAGTTTGCAAATATTTTCTCCCATTCCGTGGGTTGTCTCTTCCCTTCGGTGATTGTATCCTTTGCTGTGCAGAAGCTTTTTAACTTTATGCAATCAAGTTTGCCCATGTTTGCTTTGGTTGTCTGTACTTGTTGGATATTGCTCAAGAAGTCATTGCCCAGACCAATGTCATGGAAGTTTTCCTCAATGTTTTCTTGCAGTAGTTTCACAGTTTGAGGTCTTCGATTTAAATCTTTAATCCATTTTATTTATTTATTTATTCTTTTTCTTTTTTCTTTTTAAAGATGGGATTTCACCATGTTGGTCAGGCTGGTCTCGAATTTCTGACCTCTAGTGATCCGCCCACCTTGGCCTCCCAAAGTGCTGAGATTACAGGTGTGAGCCACCACGCCTGGCCCTAATCCATTTTAAATTGACTTTTTTATACATCAAGAGATAGGGGTTTGGTTTCATTCTTTTGCATATGGATATGAAGTTTTCCCAGCACCATTTATTGAAGATACTATATTTCCCCACTATGTGTTCTTGGCAACTTTGTCAAAAAATGAGTTTGCTATAGGTGTGTGAATTTATTTCTGGGTTCTCTATTCTCTTCCATTGGTCTGTGTCTGTTTTTATGCCAGTACCGTGTTGTTTTCATTACTATAACTATGGAGTATAATCTGAAGTCGGGTAATGTGATTCCTCAAGTTTTGTTCTTTTGGCTTAGGATTAACTCTGGCTATTCTGGGTCTTTCGTGGTTACATATAAATTTTAGGATGGCCTTTTCTGTTTCTGTGAAGAATGTCATTGGTATTTTAATAGAGATTGCATTGAATCTGCTAATTGCTTTGGGTAGTATGGACATTTTAACAATATTGATTCTTCTGCTGGGCGTGGTGGCTCATGCCTGTAATCCCAGCATTTCGGGAGGCCAAGGCAGGTGGATCACGAGGTCAGGAGTTCGAGACCAGCCTGACCAACATGGTGAAACCCCTTCTCTACTAAATATACAAAAATTAGCAGGGCCTGGTGGTGCACACCTGTAATCCTAGCTACTCAAGAGGCTGAGGCAGGTGAATCACTTGAATCCAGGAGGCGGAGGTTGCAGTGAGCTCAGATTGTGCCACTGCACTCCAGCCTGGGTAACAGAAAGTCTGTCTCAAAAAAAAAAAAAGTTAAAAAAATAAAAATAAAAAAACAGTATTAGGCCAGGCGTGGTGGCCCATGCCTGTAATCCCAGCACTTTGGGAGGCTGAGGTGAGTGGATCACCTGAGGTCGGGAGTTTGAGACCAGACTGACCAACATGGTGAAACCCTGTCTTTAAAAAAAACATTTTTTTAAAATATTGATTCTTCCAATCCATGAACATGGAATCTTTTTCCATTTTTTTGGTGTCCTCTTCAATTTCTTCAGTGTATTTTACTTTTCTTTTCTTTTTTTTTTTTTTTGAGATGGAATCTCACTTTGTCACCAAGGCTGGAGTGCAGTGGCATGATCTCAGCTCACTGCCACCTCCGTCTTCCAGGTTCAAGCAATTCTCCTGCCTCAGCTTCCTGAGTAGCTAAGATTACTTACAGGTGTGTGCCACCACACCTGGCTAATTTCTTTGTATTTTTAGTAGAGATGGGGTTTTACCACGTTGGCCAGGCTGGTCTCAAACTCCTGACCTTGTGATCTGCCTGCCTCAGACTCCCAAGGTGCTGGGATTACAGGTATGAGCCACTGCGCCTGGCCAGTGTATTTTACTTTTCATTATAGAGACATTTCACTTCTTTTGGTTAATTCCTAGGTATTTAATTTTATATGTAGCTCTTGTAAATGGGATTATTTTTTAAATTTCTTTTTCAGATTGTTCACCGTTGGTATATAGAAATGCCACTAATTTTTGTATGTTAATTTTGTATCCTACAATTCTAATAACTTTATCAGGTCTAATAGTTTTCTCTTCGAGTCTAGTTTATTCTAAATATAAGATCATATCATCAGCAAACGATGGTAATTTAACTGTTTCCTTTCCAAATTGGATGCCCTTTGTATCTTTCTCTTGTCTGATTGCTCTAGCCAGGACTTCCAAAATAACAATGATGATGGTGGGCATCCCTGTCATGTTTCAGATCTTAGAGGAAAGGCTTTCAGTTTTTCCCCATTCAGTATAATACTAGATGTAGGTCTATAATACATGGCTTTTATGTTAAGGTATGTTTTTTCTATCCCCTGATTTTGAGAGTTTTTATCATGAATAAATTTTGAATTTTATCAAGTGCTTTTTCAGCATCAACTGAAATAAAAGGTTTTTATTTCAAACTGAAACTGGAGATTGTTATCCTTCATTCTGTTAACAGGCTGTATCACATTGATTGATTTGTACATGTTAAGCCAACCTTGCATCCCAGGGATAAATCCCAATTGGTCATGATGAATGATCTTTTTAATGTATTGTTGAATTTAGTTTACTAGTATTTTGTTGAGATTTTTGCATCTATGTTCATCAGAGATATTGGCCTTTGTTTTTTTTTTTAATTGATGTGTCCTTGTCTGGTTTTGGTATTAGAGTAATGCCAGTCTCATAGAATGAGATTGGAAGTATTCTCTCATTCTCTGTGTTTTGGAATCGTTTATTTATTTTTGAGACAGAGTCTCACTTTGTCACCCAGGCTGGAGTGCAGTGGCACTATCTCAGCTCACTGCAACCTCCACCTCCCGGGTTTAGGCGATTCTCCTGCTCAGGCTCCTCAGTAGCTGGGATTACAGGTGCGTGCCTCCACACCCAGCTACTTTTTGTATTTTTAGTAGAGATGGTGTTTCACCATGTTGGTCAGGCTGGTATCGAACTCCTGATCTCATGATCCACCTGCCTCAGCCTTCCAAAGTGCTGGGATTACAGGCATGAGCCACTGCACCCTGCGAGTTCTTCTTTAAATGTGTGGTAGAATTCCACAGTGAAGCCATCGTGTCCTGGACTTTTCTTTACCGGGAGACTTTTTATTACAGCTTTGATCTCATTACTTACTTTTGTGCTGTTCAAGTTTTGAATTTCTTCCTGATTCAATCTTGGTAGGCTGCATGTGTCTAGGAATTTTTCCATTTCTTCCAGATTTTCCAATGTATTGGCATACAGTTGCTCAAAGTAGCTTCTAATGATCCTTTGAATTTCTGTAGTATCAGTTTTAATACCTCCTTTTTTATTTCTGATTTTGTTTATTTGGATCTTCTCTCTTTTTTTCTTAGTTACTCTGGCTAAATGTTTGTCAATTTTCTTTAACTTTTCAAAAAACCAACTTTTTGTTGCATTGATCTTTTGTATTGTTTTCTTCATCTCAATACTTGTTTCTGCTCTGAACTTCATTATTTCTTTTCTGCTACTAATTTTGGGTTTGATTTGCTCTTACTTTTCTAGTCATTTAAGATGCAGCCTTAGGTTATTTATTTGAAATTTTTCTTCTTTATTTGATGTAGGCACTTATAGCTATAAACTTTCCTCTGAGTACTGCTTTTGCTGTATCTCATAGGTTTTGGTAGGTTGTGTTTCCATTATCATTTGTTTCAAGATATTTTTCAATCTTCTTTTTTTTTTTTTTTGAGACAGAGTTTCACTCTTGTTACCCAGGCTGGAGTGCAATGGCGTGATCTCGGCTCACCGCAACCTCCACCTCCTGGGTTCAGGCAATTCTCCTGCCTCAGCCTCCTGAGTAGCTGGGATTACAGGCATGCGCCACCATGCCCAGCTAATTTTTTGTATTTTTAGTAGAGATGGGGGTTTCACCATGTTGACCAGGATGGTCTCGATCTCTTGACCTCGTGATCCACCCGCCTCGGCCTCCCAAAGTGCTGGGATTACAGGTGTGAGCCACCGCACCCGGCCCAATTTTCTTCTTAACTTCTTCATTGATCCACTGGTCATTCAGGAGCCTACTGTTTAACTTCCATGTATTTGTATAATTTCCAAAATTCCTTATTATTAATTTCTAATTTTATTCCTTTGTGGTCAAAGAAGATGCTTAATATTATTTCAATTTTTGAATGTTTTAAGACTTGTTTTGTAACCTAAAATATAGTCTATCCTTGAGAATGATTCACACGCTGAGGAAAATAATGTGTATTCTGCAGCTCTTAAATAAAATGTTCTGTAAATATCTATTAGACCCATTTGGTCTACAGTGCAGATTAAATTTGATGATTCTTTGTTGATTTTCTGTATGAAAGTTTTGTCTACTGATGAAAATGGGGGGTTGAGGTCTCCAGCTGAGATTGGTGATTCCCCTTTGGCTAGGGCTACTTTAAATGCTCCCTTCATGGGCAGGCATCAACTGAGTTTTCTTTCTGCTCTAACAGGACAGCACTGAGTTCAATGCCTCACGATTGCTGTATTTTCCCTCCCCCAGCACCCAGAGATGTTCTCCCCACCACGCCATTGCTGCTGGGGGTGGGAAGGGGTGGTGTATGCAATTCCAGGCTGTTTTTTAATCTCTTCAGTGCCTCTTTTAGCAATATGAAATTAAAATCAGGTACTATGATGGCTCACCTGATTTTTGGTTCTTATGACGGTATTTCTTCTATGTAGGTAGTTGTTAACCTGGTGTCCTTGTGGGGGCGGGGTATGATCAGTGGAGCTTTTTATTCTGCCCTCTTGTTCCATCCTCCTCCAGCTTTTGTCTGTCAGGATTCTTGCCAAACAGCTTTCCTCTCCTGGCAAATGTCACATCACCCTGGGAGCCTGCCATTTAACAATAAATACGTTATAAACAGCAATAGTCCAGGCACACTGGTTCATGCCTGTATTCCCAGCACATTGGGAGACTGAGGCAGGAGGATTGCTTGAACCCAGGCGTTTGAGACCAGCCTGGGCACCATAGTGAGACCCCCATCTGTAAAAAAATTTAAAAATTAGTCAGTCCTGTTGGTGTATGCTTATAACCCCAGCCACTCTGCAGGCTGAGGTGGAAGGATCATTTGAGCTCAGGAAGCAGATTACAGTGAGCCGAGTTCATGCCACTGCACTCCAGCCTGGGCAACAGAGTGAGACCCTGTCTCAAAAAAAAAAAAAAATGACAAAAGTATTACGCTGAAAATCTGTAGTGCTAGAAATAATAGTTAATAAGAGTTAACTTTTTTTGTTTTTTTTGTAGACAGAGTCTCGCTCTGTCGCCCAGGCTGAAGTGTAGTGGCGCAATCTCAGCTCACTGCAACCTCACCTCCTGGGTTCAAGAGATTCTCATGCCTCAGATTCTTGAGTACCTGGAATTAGATGCATGCCAGCCCAGCTAATTTTATTTTTGCATTTTTAGTAGAGACAGGTTTTCACCATGTTGACTAGGCTGGTCTAAAATCCCTGACCTCAAGTGATCTGCCTGCCTTGGCCTCCCAAAGTGCTGGGATTAGCTGGGATTACAGGTATGAGCCACCGTGCCCAGCCAAGAAACAATAAATTTTAGTTCTTTTTTTTTCTTTTTCTTATTTTTGTGTCTGTGTGTGACAGGGAGTTTTGCTCTTATTGCCCAGGCTGGAGTGCAATGGCATGATCTTGGCTCACTGCAACCTCTGCTTCCTGGATTCCAGTGATTCTCCTGCCTCAGCCTCCCAAGTAGCTGGGATTACAGGCACTCACCACCACGCCCAGCTAATTTTTTGTATTTTTAGTAGAAATAGGGTTTCACCATGTTGGCCAGGCTGGTCTTAAACTCCTGACCTCAGGTGATTCACCCGCCTCAGCCTCCAAAAGTGCTGAGATTACACGTGTGAGCCACCACACCCAGCCCATAAATTTTAATTCTATAAAAATTATACATATGCTATCTAAATTATGACAGATCTTACAAGCATGGGAACTGACATATAACCATATCCACATATGTATTTTAATCTACTTCCATACATTCTGACAATCACAGAAACTAAATCTGAATGATGACAAATGCTATGTTAGGTCATTAGTATTAATGAGCTATTCGGATCAGTACATGTGCATAAGTACCTTCATTCATAACCCATCTATACAGGTACCTAAGCAGGGCACTTTTCACTGCAATGCATTTCTGGACATTGTGTTGTAAGCGATATCAGCATAAAGTGGATTCTGTTTTTCCAAGGCTGTAGTTGAGGGTTTGCTCCTGACAAAGAACTCATCTTCAAATAAATCATTGCTACAACTAACCATATATCATTAAAAAAGAAATGCTTCAAAATAAACCTCTTCAAAAATTAAAACAATACCTCATTTATTCATGTAATAGTTATAAATGACCTTTATGTTTTAGACCTTCATGTTATCTGTCCTATAACTTGTATGTAAAGGTTTTGTGAAATTTATCTTACAAGGGTCCTTGGTGTACATGTGTAGCACAGAGCATAGAAAACCAAGTCTATCATACATTTTACTAAAATAAGTAATGTAGCTGTAATAAGCATTAAATATCTAACAATTGTGTTTGCCCTCTTAGAATTCTGAAAGGATTTTACAGGGTCATCTTGACACAAGGCTCTGAAATACTGCCCAAGGAAGTTTGCAGTAAGCCCTCCAGTTCTTTTTTATAAATTTCCTTGAGCACCAAGCGTGGCACCCAAACCCTTCAGACTGTCTAGCAAAGAAAGGTTTCTTTAGGAGCTAGGCCAAACCTTTGAACACTGGAGGAGATGCTTTCACTGCAAGAAAGAATTGGGCCACTACCAGACCCCTGCTGGGCCTCATATCTCTCAGAATCTTCAGCCTGTGAAGTCTTCCAGTAGGTTCACATTTCCCACAAACCACCTCTCAGCCTTATATCTTTTTTTTTTTTTTATTGGAGGTTTCAGTGGGACGGGAGAATCACAAGGAATCAGGTGTTCAGAGGAATGTATTGAGTAGAGGTGAGGAACTAGGATGTTGAAAAGTAAAAAAAGGAGAGAAGGAGAGGAAGAAAGAAGAAGAAAAAGAGGGAGAGAGAACAGGAATATTGCTTCATTCTAAAAATGGGTATTAATAATGGCCGATCAATATTTTGTGTATTTAAAATGGAGAACTCTATAAATATTTATTGAGTTTACTTGTTCCGGATCTGAGTTGAAGTCCTGGATATCCTTATTAATTTTCTGTCTCGTTGAGTCTAAATCTCGTTATGGGTCTTATGTATCTGGGTATTAAGATCTCTAATTTTTGCATTGATCCTTTTACCACTGTATCTTTGTTGCTTTGAAATCTATTTTATCAAATGTGAGAATTGCAACTCCTGCTTTTTGTTTATTTATTTATTTTTGCTCCCCATTTGGTTGGTAAATTTTTCTCCAACCCTTTGTTTTGAGTCTTTGTGTATTTTTGGATATACCATTAGGTTTTGGCTGTATCTTTTGATTGGGGGATTTAGTCGATTTAAATTTAGGGTTACTGCCATTTGATTTTAACTGGCTATTTTATCCATTCGTTGATGTAAATTCTTCTTTATGTTGATGCTCTTTACTTTTTGGTATATTTTTAGAAAGGCTCATACTGGTTGTTCCTTTCTATGTATAATGCTTCTTTCAGAAGTCCTTGTAAAGCAGGCCCGGTGGTAATAAAATCTCTGAGTACTTGCTTGTTCATAAAAGATTTTATTTTTCCTTCAATTGTGAAGCTTAGTTTGGCAGGATATGAGATTCTAGGCTGAAAGTTCTGTTCTTTAAGTATGTTGAATATTGGCCCCCACTCTCTTCTGGCTTGTAGGGTTTCCGCTGAGAGATCTGCTATAAGTCTAATAGGCTATAGTCACCCTACTCTGCTATCAAACATAGTAACTTATTTCTTCTATGTAATTGTATGATTGTACCCATTAACCAGTCTTTCTTCATTAACCCCTCCCATCCACATATATTTCTCACCCCCTCTGGTTTCTATCAGTCTACTTTCTACCTTCATGAGTTCCCACATGTGAGTAAGAACGTCTCTTTGTCCCCGGCTTATTTCACTTAAAATAATGACCATCCACGTTGCTGCAAATGACAGGATTTCATTTTTATGGCTGAATAGTATTCCATTGTGTATACATGCCACATTTTTTTATATCATTTGCCATTAATGAACACCTAGGTTGATTCTGTATCCTGGCTATTATGAATACTGATACAATAAACATTGGGGTGCAAGTAACTTTTTGTTATACTGATTTCTTTAATTTTGGATAAATAGTCGTGAGATTGCTTGATCATATGGTGGTTCTATGTTTAGTTTTTTTGAGAAATCTCCACAGTGTGTTCCATAGTGGCTGTACTAATTAACATTCCCACCAACAGTGCATATGAGTTGTCTTGACTCCACATCCTTACCAGCATCCGTTTATTTGTCTTTTTAATAACAGCCATCCTAACTGGGGTCAGATGAGATCTAATTGCGGTTTTGATTTGCATTTCCCTGATGATTACTGATGTAGAGCATTTTTTATATACCTTTTGGCCATTTGTATGTCTTCTTTGGAAAAATGTTTATTCATGCCTTTTGACCACTTTTTAATATAATTACTTTGTTGTTGTTGTTTTTACTATGGTGTTGAGTTCCTTACATATTTTGAATATTCGCCTTTTATCAGATATATAGTTTGCAAATGTTTTTCCAATTCCATAGGTTGCCTTTTTATTTTGTGTTTCCTTTGCTGTGCAAAAGCTTTTTAGTTTAATTAAGTCGTATTTGTCTTTTGTTTTGTTTTGTTTTTGTTGCCTGTGCTTTTGAGGTGTTATCCACAAAATATTTGCCTAGATAAGTGTCCAGAAGTGTTTCCCCTGTGTTCCTCTAGTAGTTTTATAGTTTCAGATCTTATGTTTAAGTCTTTAATCCATCTTAAATTGATTTTTGTATATGGTGAGAGATATGGGTTGGGTTTCATTCTTCTGAATATAATATCCAATTTTCGCAGGACCATTTATTTTAGCGTGTGTGTGTGTGTGTGTGTGTGTGTGTGTGTGTGTGTTTCCCAATATATCCATATAATAACACCAGCACCATTTATTGAAGACAGTGTCTTTTCTCCAATGTATGTTCTTGGTGCCTTTGTCTATAATCAGTTGGCTGTAAATACATGGATTTATTTCTGGATTATCTATCCTGTTCAATTGGTCTATGTGTCTGTTTTTATAACAATACCATGGTGTTTTGGTTCCTATAGCCTTGTAATATAATTTGAAGTCACATAGTATGACGCCTCCAGCTATGTTCAGAAAGCTGCTCCTTCTGAGACTCCTTCACTGATTCCTTCTTTCCCAGAATGCTATACTTGGCATTCTCTTCTCTGTCCACACTCCCTCTCTTGATAATTTTATCTTGTCTCCTGGCTTTAAACACCATTTATATCTCCACCCTAGACTTCTCCCTTAAACTCTAGACTTGTATATCCAAGTACATATTTGACTTCTCTGCTTGAATATCTAAAAGACATCTCATATCACATGTCTAAAACTATCACCTGTTTCCTAAAAACTACTGAAACAAAATAAAAAATAAATAAAACAGTACTTCTAGTCTCTCTCCAGTCTGCCTCCCCACATACATCCCAAAACTGATATTACTCACAGCCTTCAGTTGATGACAATCCCATCCTTTCATGTGCTTAGATCCAAACTCTTGGGTATTTCTTCAACTCCTCTCTTTCTCTTACACTCTATCTTTGAATAATCAAAAAATCCTATTTACTCTTCAAAATACATCAGTAATTCACCCACTTCTCACAGCTTTCGCAGCTACCATTGTGGTTCAAGTCATCATTATCTGTTGCCTGG